AACTGGTTTGTCAGGTTGATAAAATAACGTGTTACTACAGCCACTTAGTGAGAATTTTACAAGAAGCTATAACAAACTTGCGGAAAGGTGCATGCACGAAGACCAACAGACTTAGTACTTTGGTATAGTTATATGAAGTTCAGATTAGCTTACACGTTCGAAAGTATTTCCTGGTCTGGTAGACATAATTCTGGAAAATTCGGGTAATGTTGTCGTCCTTGAGGGTTTATGTGCACCTTATCAAAGGGAGGAGTTCAGTATAAAAAATGGTTTCGCTTTCTATGGTGAAGTATGTGTAGATACGTTTACTGGGTCATGGTGACGTTATTAGCCAGTATAAAAGTGGATGGAAGCGGAGTGAAAAATCAGGTGTTAACTCAAGTTGTCCAGAGAGAAGAACAGCAAGAAAATGATCGCTAAGGTAAGTTAATAAGATCTAACGTAGTCTAAGAAATATATCTAGCTAGCTATACCGTTTGTATCAAAACAATAATTATAGAGAAAATTAACACTCTAGACACAAATAGTTTTAGCCTACAGATTAGTCTTGTTACATATTATTAGAATGTTGCCTAAGAAAAGTCGTTATTTCGTAGGTCTTTTTTTTTCTCTTCGTGTCTACAGATCATGTATACTGTATTATTTGTCTTTAAGTTAAAGTGAAAGGTAAATGTACATTGCGTTCTTCTTTCATTTGAGGCTACATTATGTTCCAATAAAAACACCTTCGCAAATTCAGTTAAGCATATTACGATTGTTTATCTGGAAAAAATTCAGTCTTTGTCTTAGGTGTTAAAGTGGAGATTCCGAATATCAGTTAAACACGTATTTCCTGTTGTTTTCTTAATCCGATTGTTATATAAGAAGATTTTTATTGAACAAATAAAGATAAACTTTTCGTTCATAGATTGCCATCCTCTGCGCCCTGGTAGCCGTCGCCCATAGCGGATTGATTGCTGGACACGGTCTAGCAGGTGGCTCTAGTATCAGTTCTCGCCGACAGGACGTAAGTATCGTTTGTGCACATTATATATAAAAATGACAAAACCAAAGCACTTCGCGATAATTAACAATACGAAATAAAAGCTGTAAATTATTTTTAGTGAAATACTTATAGACATACCGCTGTGCCACTAGGGCATATCATATAATGAAATAATGCTTAGAATACTTATTAACGATCGAACTCGCAAAATATCCAAAACACAGCTGCTTCCTAAGCTGATTTTTTTCTTCGATCTCGAGATCAGGACTTTAAAAACAACCAAAAATTATTAAAACCGTTCTGAAAGGGACTTCACTTCTGCAGCTGGGCCAACACACTCAATCAAACTTTCTTTGTGACAGCTCTATCTTACCACTAAAATCTACAACACAGGGTTGATTCACCTTGGCCAACACACGAATGAGAAGACGAGACAGGCGATAAATGAATTATAATTATTTATTTTATGGTATTAGGTTTTAACTTTAAATTCTCGGAGAATTATAACTCAAATGTTCTATATTATAAAACAGTATTTGTATCAGTATCTATTTGTAATTTTTCCTTCCTTCTTGATGTTTGAGCTTTTCGATGTCTTATTGTATACAAAATAAAAGTACTCAATTAGTTACGATATTAACTGTAATTCTGAATATGAAGAAATAAATCAAGTTCAGATTTTATCATTTTCATTATACATTTATTAATAAAATACAATCTGTACAAATATACATCACCACACGCAAGACTTATTAACATCATGCTTTTAGGTAAAGGGCCAGGCTTTACAGAAGAATAAAATAAAAAATATTGAGGCAAGCTTCGCAAACATAATATATCAGAAAGTAATAAGGAGTGTTTCGTAAAATACTATTAAAAAAGTATTATTTCAAATATTCAAAAAATAAAGAAAGCTATAGCAATGAAAATTAAAGCTTTAAAGCATAAACCACAATGCGCGTAAGCTAAATCAGTTTCATAACAATCGAGAGAAAATAGCTACATGACAGTTTTATATCAATCATCAAAACATAAGTATTTAGTGGTATTTCAAAAGTCCAGCTCCGTATAGACCTCCTCCATAGGCGGGAAAACCGTAAGCGCCAGCAGCAATAGCGGGTGCTCCGTAGAGACCAGCAGCAAAGGCAGGGGCTTTATAGGCTCCAGCAGCTAAAACAGGAGCTCCATAAACAGCAGCAGGAGCAGCAGCAAGAGCAGGAGCAGCAGCAAGAGCAGGAGCAACAACAGGGGCAGCAAAGGCAGGAGCAGCAACAGCAGTTTTCACTAAAGCAGGTCCGTGAGCGACAACACCTGGTTGGCTGGAGGCCACAACGGCTGCTGCAGGAGCACTAGCGGCGGTACCTGGTTCGTTGGTCTTTACAACAGCACGGAAACCGGCACCATCAGCAACATATTCAACTCTGCGGGCACGACCGTCGATGTCAGTCAGACTGTAGGCTCCACGTTTGTTTCCATATCCGTCTCCAGCCTCCCAACGGCCATTGGTAGCTCCAACTGGGTCAACAATATCGTAGTTGAAGGCGTAGTTACCAAAGTCCTGCAAAAAAAAGACGTTTTGTTTAACAGCTTATAAACGATCGAGAAAGATTTCCTTTCATTAATTAGATACCAAAGATCTAAAAACAATATTCTTTGGCGGACTTACAACGCTAGAATCCGTGTTTCGATACGTGGTGGGTAGAGCACAGATAGTCCATTGTGTAGCTTTGTGCTTAATTACAAAGAAAGAATTGTATGGTATATTGCTATCTTTATTCTAATATACCTATTTCTATAAATCATTCTTATTTTGGTTTCACGTAGCTTTTGGTCTAAAGATTAATAAAGATTTCTCTTTGTTTGTTTGTTGTGAGCCACTTGTGTTGCCTCTTTCCTGATAGTTAAGTCCTACTATTCAATTAGAAAGCCCAAGAGCCGACGGCGAGAGGTGTTGATTAGCATATCATTTCAAAGTTAGGGACGGCTAGTGCAGGTAACCCTCGAGTTTTGGAGATATCAAAATTACCAGAAGCTCAAAATGGTTTCAGAAAATTTCGGCAAACAACTGATCATTTAGTTAGGTTACCTGAAAGCATAGTAGATAGCTTTATTGAAAAGAAATACACTGCCGCCTGCTTTGTTGATATAAAGAAAGCATTCGATACTGTACGGCATAATGGATTAAGATTTAAGTTGAAAGAAATGGGTTTACCAACAGGAGTTATTCGCTAATCATCAAATTTCCTAGAAAACAGAAAATATAGAGTCAGTATGGAGGACACTTACTCGGAGTACTTTGCTTCTGAGGCAGGTGTCCCCCAGAGAGGGGTAGTTAGTCCCATTCTTTTCATAATATGTGTAAGCAATATGAATTTGAAGGACCCAAGTTTTAGTTTAACTTCACAATTTACAGACGATGTGGCGATATGGATGAGCTCAGTAGCTCCCTCTATTGCAACTACAAAGTTGCAACCGATATTAAATCAAACTGGATTCCCAGTATGCCCCTGAAGAAGAAAGGTCCACCTTTCAAAAGCTCTCGGAATATAAGGTTTTTAGCATCTTGTACCAAGATTTCTTGAACCTACGTGTTTTTCTGACATCTTGAAATCAAATTGTAGTATACTGTCAAAACATTGAATCAAAATTAATGTTCCTAAAACAAAATTAATTCCATTTTCAAAATCAAAAAGACACTTGTGGTATCTAAATTTAAACGATAATTTTGGAGTATAGTGTAGGTGGTCTTGTTCTTATAATAGAAATTGAATGAGGACAGATACTTAACTCTATCATCATCTTGTATGAAATAACGATCTGTTTCAGTTAATAAATCATTTTTATATAGGTTTTTATCTGAGTCTGTCTTTTATGGGTTTAATATTTGCGAATTTGTACATGAATGTTACATTTTTTTATCTTGATACTCTATAACCTGTAGTTATTACTGAAATCTGAATTGTTTGAAGTTTCTTAATATGTGTTGGTACAACGTCTGTCCACGCCGGACATAGATATTCTGGTCTAATATATTGTTTATATATTTTGATAATGTTCTCAGGTGTATCTCCTGTGTTTTTAACACAGTTTGCTCGTTGCCACACTTTGTTCTATATTTCTGTAATATGCTTATTCCAGGTTAATTTAGAATCATAAATAACTACAAGGAATTTAATTGATGAAACGACGTTTAGAAGAGCTCCGTTGAAATATAACTAGGGAGAATTTTTATGTGTTTTAGTTATAAGATGATAGTTCCAATAGAAAAAATATATATGAAGTTTTTAGTGTTTTTGATTGGCTAAAATTGTGAGCTTTTCTTCGTGACTGCATTAGTAAACAGAGAGTATAGCATATAACATCCTCATGATGAATTTACTGCTAAAATAGCCAAGAAATAAAAAAAATCGCTTAATATAGTATCATTCCTATCTCTTAATCCGTGTACACGTACAGAAAAGTAATGTGGTAGTTTCCCTCTATTGGGGAAAGCGATGCACATGCAACATTTTCCCCAATTTAACAGGAGTTTGGAAAGGGCTTTGGTAAACTGGCTTCACGGCGAGTAAGTGATGAATAGAGAAACCAGCGTTCTGGGCTGGTGTTCGGTAGTCACGTGCGACCTGGGACCTCTTCCTTTATTTCTAATAAACTGTCAAATACTGTAGTTATTATTCTCGAAATCGCAATGTAACACACTGTGTAAAAACATTGTTTCTTCTTCCCTCTTCAGGGCCATGTCCATGAATAGCATTTAGTGCTATTTTAGCCCTTCTCTTTATTTGATCACATATATTCATAAACACTTCATACTAAAGTATTTCGCTTCATTTGGCTATATACGTTAACAAAAGATTCCGTGTCACCCTGTTCACTTGACATAGGTACCAACGCGTATTTGACATAGAATACCCTTAGGGACACTAAATCAAAGGAAATTAGAATGGAAACACGTTTTAAGAAGATTGAGTTCTTAGAGTATTCAGCATCAAGCCTGAAAATAATGTGACTCGGAAAAGATCTTTGCCAGTTAATATGTCTTTAGTTTTAAAATATGAATCCGAAGTACAGGGGTTATACTAAAATCGAGAATCGAAACCACTCCAGGAAAATCTTATTAAAACCTGGAACAGCACGGAACACATTGCCACACAATTAGAAATTGCATTTCATAGTAAGTGACAATTAAATAAGATAAACAAGATTTGTCGTGACGTTAACGAGTTTTCTATCAATGACAGTATACGGCAATATTGACAGAATAAGATAAACAGCCCGAACTTTGTCGTGAAGTTAACGAGTTTTCTATTAACGACGTATACGGCAATATTGACAGAATAAAATAAAGCAAGATGCATTTCTAGTTTTCTTAGAAATATGGAATTATATTTCGAATATTCGACATGGTCGTTTTTTACCTTATGATTATGGCATTATGCTTTAATACATATCCAGAAAATATTGTAAAGTGTGTTGGAATTTATTTATAGATTTAAAATATTATTTTATTTTTTTTGGCAACTGTGTATGAATATACAAATGAATACACCATACGTCAGTTTTTTTATCTCTAACAGTATATTGAATCTTTACGTCAAATTTATCAATCCTTACCCTTAAAGTATATGTTAAGCCTCGTTTTCAAATTTTCCCTAAGAATAATAACAATAATACAAATTATTACCCCTCGTCTTACTGGAAGAAAGACATTCTTTTATCGTTAACCTAAAATAAATAAATGGTTCTTAAATAAAATTATCCGATGCAAACTACCGAACGCTTTTTTATAACACAGAAGTAGTAATGCATACCACAGTAGTAGTAAGGCAATTCACAGAAGTTGAGTTCTACAGTACAATAAGATAAGAGTTGCTTGTTCACATTAGCACTTTACTTCGAAACTGTTACTCATCTAACCATTCATATCTTCAATGAGTGATCCGAACTTGAAGCTTTGTCACTCGTTGTATATATTACGAATTAATCCAGTTCGTCCGATTACAGATTGCCACCAAATCCGTATAATGTACATATATTATTCGGTTTTCAACGTCTGTGTTTGGTGAATTTTGTTTCTTAAAACCAGTATTTGATCTTCACATATTAGTAGACCATACACTTGGTACACCAGCCAGTAGACATACATTTTAAATTGAACTATATCGCATGTAACTGAACTGATTGGTCAGCTAAACATCTTCAAAGTGTGATGGTTATGTTTTGAAGTTTGAGCGTAATTTGATTTGCTGTTCTCATGGCTACTTAAATGTTATCCTAAAATTTGGTTAGTGACACTGAAAATAATGATGAAGTACTGTAACTGTTCCACATTTCTAATCCTGGAAGAGTAACGGCGCCCAGTGGTTAATTAATATATTCAATATAGCTTCCTTTCACAAAATATAATAAAAAATGAAAAAAAAAAACAGGCAAAGAAAAATATCACTAAAGTAGGTCCTCTCCAGCAAATTTTGATTTTGAAACATACTGATAACCTATAAGTTTTGCACTTGATTTGCTTCATAAATGCTTTAGTGAACCGCACTTGAAGAACATTACATTGTGACTTTAATATCGTTGTGTTGTGATTGTTGCATTGTGGATTTGACAACAGTACACTGTTAATTTGAAATAAGTACAATTGACTTCAACGTCGATACATTGTAACTTTGAGTATATTACATTATGACTTTGACAACATTACATTGTGACTCTGACAACATTACTTTGTGACTTTAATATCGTTGTGTTGTGATTGTTGCATTGTGGATTTGACAACAGTACACTGTTAATTTGAAATAAGTACAATTGACTTCAACATCGATACATTGTAACTTTGAGAATATTACATTATGACTTTGACAACATTACATTGTGACTCTGACAACATTACTTTGTGACTTTGAAAACGATACAACTGAACTTGCTATCGATAAATTGTTACTTTGAAAATGTTACACTGTGATTTTGAACATCGATGCATTATAACGTTGAAATATTACATTGTAACTTTGACGTAGTTAGATTATGTCACTGAGAACATTACATTGAAAATATTAGATTGTAACTTTTTACACTGCTGCATTGTGACTCTGATAACGTTACAAAGGAATGTTGAGAACATTACATTGTGACTATCTATCTATTTTAAATTACACATTCAGTTAGAAGTTGTACAAGTATTATATATTTTTTATGTTTCTGGCCCTTATACCAAGCCTCAATCTTAGAAAGGTTGCGTGTTTCCACCTTCCAACTCCGTCTAAAAGCAGACACACCCAACTTACGATATGTCCCCTGGTGAGAATTAAGTCAAGGTCATACGTTACCGAAAGTAGTGCACGGAGTAATACAATATGTGCAGGTGGTGGTCTATGCTGAAGGCTGGTTTCTAAGGTGACGAAGTCGACGACCTTCTATAGAACTTAGAAGCTGCTGCAACCAATTCTAGGTTGCTCTACTGGTGAACCAGAAAATGCCAGATGCATGTGAAAATCTCTTGATATTACTTCACTGAAACGAAAAGTAATAAAAAGCTGGAAGTGTAGGCTTGACGAA